AGCCGAACGCTCGTTTGCACACATAATATGGTAATTATTTAGTTTAGCGGCAACACCTCCGATTTCGATGAAAATAGGCTCAATCCACGCGTTGTCATACCATCTATCTCTAGCTATGTGACTGGGGGGCTAAAGAGTGAATTTCTCACGAAAGATTGTAGCTCCCATCCCACCGTGATACGGGGAGTCTGGGGGGCAAAGCCCCTCAGTTACATAGCTAGAGATACATGGTATAACTGGATAATTACCAATTTTTTAAACGTACGTTCGTCTCTTAATTTTTATTTATGCGTAATAGAGCTTGTAGGCAATCGTACTGTAGGCAATTATTTTTGTGTGCAAACGTACGTTTGTCTCTTAATTTTTATTTGTGCGCGATAGAACTTGTTGGCAAACGTACTGTAGGCAATAATATTATGTGCGCAATGTGGCTTGTGCGCAATAGTTTAGTGTGTGCAAACGTACGTCCGTCTCTTAATTTTTTATTTGTGCACAATAGAACTTGTAAGCAATCTTACTGTAGGCAATAATTTTTGTGCGCAAACGTGCATTCGTCTCTTAATTTTTATTTGTGTACAATAGAACTTGTAAGCAATCTTACTGTAGGCAATAATTTTTGTGCGCGAACGTTCATTCGTCTCTTAATTTTTATTTGTGCGCAATAGAGCATATAGGCAATCATAATGTAGGCAATAATATTATGTGTGCAATGTGATTTGTGCGCAAGTGTCGTGTGTGCAAACGAGCGTTCGGCTTTTAATTTTTTATTTGTGCGTAATACAACTTGTAGGTAATTGTTCTAGGCAATAATTTTTGTGTGCAAATGAAATGTGGATAAGTTGAATGTCAGCAATCGATACTGTAGGCAATTAATTTGTAGGCAATCGGGACCCTCCCAGCACATGTAGATTCTGAGAATATCGTAAAAGTAGATTGTGTATATCCCCTGAATGTTCAAGATACGTACTATGTTCTAACAAAGAAACTCACACAAGTGTCTGCCTCTGATTTTCATGAACTTGTAATATGTTGTTCTTTAGATCAAAATTACGTTATAGATGTTTTTTTTATTATATGTTTTTATACGTTTTTTTTTTATTATATATGCCCTTTTGCAAGTTTAGGAGATGAAATACTCCTTTGAAGAAAATCGGTTTTTTTTATTCGAAAGGAATATAATAAAAACTATAAGAGATAGAAAAAAATATTTTGAATAAAAGTTGGATGGTTTGAAGAGTACTTTACAGAAATTATTTGAAAAAAAAATATTTTTTTGTTAATATTTCCCCCACTACTTCTCTTTATTATAATTATTAAAATAAATTCTGTAAAATACTCTTCAAATCATTCAACTTTTATTCAAAATATTTTTTCTATCTCTTATAGTTTTCATTATATTCCTTTGGAATGAAAAAAAACCGATTTTCCTCAAAAAGGTATTTCACCTCTTAAACTTGTGAAAGGGCACATATAATAAAAAACGTATTTGTTATTTTAATCTAAAGTACAACATATTATAATTTCATGAAAATCAGAGGCGGACACTTGTGTGGGTTTCTTTGTGAGAGTGTACTAAAAACGTTCATATGTCCCGACTATCCGCTTTTTCAGTATATACTGAAAATGTCCCATAGTATATCACAAGTATATTCAAGGAATATGTACATTAATAATTAATTTTATATGTTCTAATAAAATATATATAAGATATATCAAATAGGTATATTAATTTACATAATTCAAGATATAATTCAAAATATAACTTTACCTGGATAGTAATACTCTCATTGCATGTCGCGTACGAATGTGTTCTGTGTCCTACGTTTTATGTAGACAGACCCTGATATCCAATGAACGTACAGCTCTGAGAAAAGAGCACAATTGATGTGTTTTTTTCAACTGAACTGGTAACACTAGTTCAGTAAATGTACGCACACTGAAGATTAAGAATCTTGTACGTACGCTTCATGGGCGTCAATATATATGTATATTTTTTGAAGTAGTGCAACAAATTCAGGTAGAACGAACAAATCAAATAATTGATCAAATTTTCCCTGTTACTATAAAGCAGTAAATTGATTAACTGTCACAAATATAGTCCGGCCAATCTTACAAATGCTTTGAAATGTTTAAAATATATATTTTATATTGTAATAATTAACCCTTTAACCCTCCTAAACGAGTCACATTCGGGTGCGGGTAACTGACAGATTGCTTATGCCCGAGTGTGACTCGGGCGACTTTAAAATTTGTGTTATTAAAATACACGTGAATGTGTGCTGCTCGGGCACGTACTAAACTCATGCATCAACTCAATGATTTTTAATATGCCAATTGGTCGGAAAGTATTTCAGACTTTAGTAACTTTAGTGATTATAAAATTAAAATGGATCGTTATGATGACAAAACTTTAAGTGCAGGAAGAATTTGATGCCAATTAAGTGTAGAAAGCTCCAATCCAAAACTGATTTTTTATTTTTTAGCGTAACTTTTATAAATCATAACCCAATTTTACTGATTTCAAATTTTTTCTGTGCTATAAAACTTGTATATATGTGTCAGATTAGGTAATGAAAATTTTGAGTAGAGTTTTGAACCTTTTTATCCATAAAAATTGAGTTTACATACTTATTTTCAAATAAAGAACTATTCAAATACTAATTATCTTCAATAAAAAAAAATGATTATTTTGGACTGAAGTTTATTGGAAGTTTATTTCTGACCGTTTATCTCAAAAAAAAAAAAAAAAACGAGCGTTAAGGGGTTAATAATATTATATATTGTATTTTCTAAACTGCCATCGTATTTTTATTTCTGTTTTGTTTATTTGAAGATTGTTTTGTTTATAATCATAAATTGTGATATCATTAAGATGTATTAGAAATATACTTTTTAACACTATTACAAAAAAGTTCTTACAATAATTTAAAAATATTTCAGTGATAAACAGTGTTTAAAAGTATATTTTTCATATATTTTAATATAATATTACAATATATATTTAAAATATATATATTTTGTATATATATTTTGTTAATATATATTGTATATATATTTTGTTAATATATATTTTGAACATTTCGAAGCATTTGTAAGATTGGTCGGACTACATTTGTGGCAGTTAATCAATTTACTGCTTTATAGTAACAGGGAGAATTTTAACAATTTGGTCTGTTCATTCTACCTGAACTTGTTGCACTACTTCAAAAAATATACATACATATCGAAGCATATGAACCATACAAGATTCTCAAGCTTCAGCGTGCGTACATTTATTCAACAATTAGTGTTACTAATTCAGTTGAAAAGAACAGATCAATGGTGCTTTTTTTCCAGCGCTGTACAAACATTGGTTATCAGGATCTGTTTACATAAAACGTAGGACACAGGACACACTCGCACGCGACGCGCGACATGCATTGAGCGTACTACTATTTTAGTAAAGTTATATCTTGAATTATATAAATTAATATACCTACTTGATATCTTATTCTATTAGAACATACATAAAATGATATATATTCTATTAGAACATACATAAAATTTGCTATTACGTACTCTACATATTCCTTGAATATACTTGTGATATACTATAGGTTTTCAGTATATACTGAAGGAGCGGATAATCGGGACATACGAATGTTTTTAGTACATTCTTAGTAAAACATAGTACATATGTCGAACATTCAGGTGATATACACAATCTACTTTTATAATATTCTTCGAACATTCTCAGAATCTATCTGTGTTATTAGGGTAAATAAAACCTAAAAGTTTTGTGTATCCGTGATAATGTAATAATATAATAACATAATAATACAGTTATAAAATTTTTATCATAATAAAATTATTGAATTTTTTTAACTTCATCTTGAGACATCTTATGTGTAGATTTTTAGCTATATAACTATGAACTGGCAGGAGTGACCTTAGACTTCTGCTAACATCCACAGCGTCGTCAGTAATCAAATAAATTACAGGCAATTTCCTAAACTGCAACCTTATTTTTATTTCTGTTTTGTTCATTTAAAGATTGTTTCGTCCATAATCATGAATTGTGATATAATTAAGATGTATTAGAAATATACTTTTTAACACTATTTGTTACAAAAAAGTTTTTACGATAATTTAAAAATATTTCAGTGATAAATAATAAAAGTATATTTTTCATATATTTTAATGATATTATAATTCACGATATATTAGATAAAGGTTGTTATTCGGTACTGGTGGTGCTATAAATAATAGCAAACTGCACGGAAAGATAAGCGACTAGCGCGCGCGCAGTCCATATATAGTCAAAGGTATATATACAGGGTGTCTTACCCTCTCCTCCGGGCATTTTGTGGGGACGTAGAACAGGTTGAGATAAACATAAAAGTCCTATACCGTTCTGCGATATTTGCAATAATTATCGAGATATTAATTGTAGAAAATGTGTGAATGATCATACAGGATATGGTAAATGAGTTATAATAGCAACGACTACCGTCGTGTACTTATACTTTAGATCAAATTGAAAAAAAAGTCTTCG